ATATATATATATATATATATATATATATATATATATATATATATATATATATATATATATATATATATATATATATATATATATACATATATATATACATATATACATATATAGTAAAACAGTATTATTGTGAAATATTATTACAGTTTAAAATAATTGTTTTCTATTTTAAAATGTAATATATTTCTGTCATGACAGCTGAATTTTCAGCATCATTACTCCAGTCTTTAGTGTCACATGATAATTCTAATATGCTGATTTGGTGCTCAAGAAACAGTTCTTATTATGATAAATGTTGAAAACAGCATTCAATAGCATTTCGCTATTTGAAATAGAAATTGTTTGTAACAATATAAATGTCTATACTGTAACTTTTGATCAATTTAATGCTTTTGTGCTGTATTAACTGAAAAAATCCCAAACTGACCCCAAACTTTTAAACAATTGAGTATGCAAGTTCTTTTCTAACCTAGTTAGTAAGTCTAGTTAATTTCATTGAAATGAAAAGCAGCAGCCTAGTAAAATTATGGATTGGTGGTGGCACAAGGCAAGATTGATGAAAAGGACATTGAATGAGACCCCCTTATGTGATTAGGGGTTTGGTGGTTTGGAAATTTGTTTTACTCATAAAGTTGGTCTTAAAAGTTTGAGAACCTCTAATCTAAAGCACAACACCTTATGAATTACTTTGTGTGTGTGTCTGTGCACCTGCTAACTCACATTTTGCAATGCTACTCTGAAGGTGATGTTGGTTCCCAGTACAGCAGTGAGCTGAGAGTTGATGGTGCTCAGCTGTAGGCCACTGGGTGCTATGGGTTTACACTGTTGCATTTTGGGACTTAGTGTATACTTCAGACCCTCTCTACAGTTATTCAACAGCACTTGCCTGTACCTGCACCGACACACACAAAGACTTTAGAAAACACCCTCTGTTACCAGCAGAAACACAAAAAGAGACATGTAGTTAATACACAAACACTCTTATGAAGACTATCACAAAGAGAATAATTTTGCACGTATGGGTCATACTGCAATGTGTGTGCATCTGTGTATCTGTGAGTGTGTGTTACCCTGTGCTGTTGCGGTAGCGCTGTCCATGGCTGCAGGTGTGTGCTGGTAAATTGACATCATACCAGAATGCAGGTGCACATTTTCCACTGGCCTGTCTCTCAAACCCATAATCACTGCAGGGAAAATCATCAATTATTCAGTTTGGTTAAGCTCCTCTCTATGATGCAGTCTATAGAGAGAAGTGGCTTATATATTTGCTGTATATTAGACTGCACTTTTCATACACTGTAAAATAAAAGTTGTTCAATGGTTTTCTCACGCACCTTAGGATCAAGTAAAACCATTTTTTACTGTATTGTTCTTGTGTTGGCTACATGAAAGGCTCCCACACTTTCTGACAAATATATTTCTATGATTTTTCCTTGACCTTTCCAGTTGTTTGCTATTAGGACTCATTGAAGAAATAGTTTTATAGAGATTGCACTTACAAGAGTAACTGGCAGCCTAAATGTTTTAAAAACAAACATTTAAATTTATATATATTTTTTATTTACATTTTTGAAAATGAATTAAAAGTTTACCCGCCATTATCTGTTTTATTTTATTAATTTCTAAAGATTAATGCAACTTACTACACATCTATTGCCACATTATGTGCCACATTATCAGCAGTTAAAATCACCAAATTGCACTTGGAACACTGTTATTTTAGTATTATTTATATAATATTTATTAATATTTTGAATTAATATTTTGCTTTTATTTTTATTTTTATATTTTCAGTTTTAGTTGTAGTTATTTTGTTATGTGTTTTCTATTTAGGTTTTAATTAATTTTTTATTTCAGTTTTAGTTTTAGTAATTTTAGTACTTCAACTTAAACATCAACTTTTGTTTTAGTAACGTTTTAGCAGCACTGTAGCCTTAAGTTGTGATTGGCTAGTGTGTTTACAAGGTATAAACTGCTGTAGGGGATCAGGGCTAAACTCAGTAACACCAGCTCCTTCCGGCTAATCAGATCACTGCCACATTTATCATCCATTTAAATATTCATTACTTATTAATTTGGAGATAATTAATCATTTGACATTATGCTAATTTTGCGCACCTCTCATTCATACGTGTAAGCAGACGACTCTAATGGAGTCTGTGTGTGGTACAAGGGAGATTTATGTCGTCGTTATGATCAGCGCAGGAGTGTGTCTCCGTGTGCATCGGGGTGGGTTTGTAAAATCTCCATCAGTATAGCGATATGATTATGACAGACTGATGTAAAACCAGGTTTTTACCTTGCTGCCTCAAGAGCAAGCTCATTTAAGCGACTGCAACAGTATCATAAACTGCACTGAAAAAAAACTGACAAATGAAGGGAAAAACCTTGTTTTTTTACATTCAAATGCCACTTAATTAATCTGTATAATTGGTTGGATCCCTGCAGCTTTTGTTCTCTGCATGCAACACTGAGTCCTTTGATCCACAAGAGTTACTGTCACTCATTTCTTCCATTGGAAAAGCAGCTGCTCTGCTTTTCCATGTGTGTGCATGTATGCATATGCGTGCATGTGACTCACCACTCAAAGTCATAGAGGGTGCAGATGCAGGGCTCAGCTGAAACAACTCGAGAATATTCCTGACCCAGAGTGCAACGTGTGCCAGGCTTCCTCTTCATATACACCTGTCTCTCTCCCATCACACACACCTCACCCTGAAATGCACATAAATACCCAGTTAAATAACTAGCAGTCAAAGTCACCAAACTGCACATGGAAGACTGTTATTTTAGTATTATTATACTATTAAAATATTAATTATTATTTTGCATTGGCTTTTATTTAATATTTTCATTTTTTATTTAAATTTTAGTTTTGCTACATTCTTTTGTAATTTTTATTAGTTTTTTTTGTTTGTAATTTTGTAAATTTATATATAGCTTTAATTAATTTATATTTCAGTTTTAGTTTTTGTAATTTTAGTACTTAAACTTTTATTTCGGTAACATTTCTGGTTTCCATTAGTTTTTTTTGTTGTTGTTTCTTTTAGGTTTACGTTATATTTTATTTTATTGCAGCTATAAATTAAATTAACACAGCTATAGGTCAATTAACAAATTATTTTTAATAGCTTTATTTACCAATAACAACACTGCTTGGAATCAGGCTGTCAAAGCTTTCTGTTTTTTTTATTAAAGTTATTATAGTAAATGTAATGTAGAATATGGCAAATGTATTGCAATGGAAGATGTGCACATAAATACATATATATTCACAAATGCACACAGGAAGCAGGGTTGCCAGGTCTCTGAAACAAAACAAGCCCAACTGCTATTCAGAACTAGCCCAATTATGTTTTTTTCTGCAGTTTTCAGCTCTGGTGGGGGGTCTCCTCCATTGAAAGAGCTTTTGCTTTAACCCGCGGAATACAAAACAACCCAAGGCAACAGTGTAAAAGTAGCCCAATTCTGCGTGAATAAAAAAAATTCTAGTTATTCTGCTTAGCTGAGGATTGATACGGTTGTTGGTACGAATTTTAGAAAACGTATTGTGCTTTCCAGGAAACAGATTTGACATGCAATAGCTGCTGACTCTGAAACTCCGTAAAACCACAAGTGAGAGTCAAGGCTGATTGACAACTTGTCACCAATACTATGTGCTGAGATCTGTTGCAAAAATCCATTACGACTCTATTAATTTCCATTCAGCTTGGGCATGTTACCCCAGAGGTGAATATAATCGCCCGTGCCACTCTAATTACTAACAAATTCAGTGCCAAAAGAAACTCATGTTGAATGTTGAGTAGGTGAATTACTGCTTTGCTGTTGAGACTGAACAGTAAGGCATGCTGTGATAAATGTGAGGTGACAACCTTGTTATGCAGGTGCCATGTCTGAAAGTCTCCGTCTGTGCATTTCCGCCCAAACAGGGAGCTGTAGTCAATCTTTATCAGCTGCCAGTCGGAGTGGTAATTAAAGTGCCCGAAGAATCTACGAGGATAGAGATCCTTAAGCACAACAGGATCGGTTTACTTTTATATTCTTTACAAGTGCTTAAAGGGTTAGTTCACCCAAAAATGATAATTAGCCCACAAATTACTCACCCTCTAGTCATCCTAGGTGTATATGACTTTCTTCTTTCAGACGAATCCAGTCGGAGTTATATAAAAAATTGTCTTTGATTTTCCAAGCTGTTTAATGTCACTCAGCGGGTGTTGCATGCATCAGTCCAAAAGAAGTTAAATAAAAAGAGCCCATTCATAAAAAAAAAAGTGTTTCACACGGCTCCGGGGGGTGAACAAAGGCCTCCTGTACCGAATCGATGCGTTTTTGTAAGAAAAATATCCATATTCAAAACGTAATAATCACTATAATGTAGCTTGCGCCAACAGTCCTACATGGAAGCAGCTCCGGGCGGATGATGTATGAGTTCAGCGTTGCGCATGCGCCGGTGAGTCTCGTGAAAACCAACGTTTGTTAACAGGAGCAAAGGAAGCAAAGTTTCCTTAGTTTAGCAAAGGAAAATTAGTCTCCTCTTGGTTTATATCGAAATCCTCTGCCATTCTTCTTTACAAATCCTCGTTTTGTACTTTTAATAAGTGACCGGTGTTTTGTTTTGATATCTCCCCTGCGCTTCCGAGTTTGTCACTTCTGAGCGGCGCATGCGCAAAGCCGACCTCCATACGTCATCCTCCCAGAGCTGCTTCCATGTAGGACTGTTGGCGCAAGCTACATTAAAGCGATTATTACATTTTGAATATGGATATTTTTCTTACAAAAACGCATCGATTCGCTACAGGAGACTTTTGTTCATCCCCTGGAGCTGTGTGAGACACTTTTTTTATGGATGGGCGCTTTTTATTTAACTTCTTTTGGACTGATGCATGCAACACCTGCTGAGTGGCATTAAACAGCTTGAAAGATCAAAGACAATTTTTTATATAACTCCGACTGGATTCGTCTGAAATAAGAAAGTCATATACACCTAGGATGACCTGAGGGTGAGTAATTTGTGGGCTCATTTTCATTTCTGGGTGAACTAACCCTTTAAAGGACACATATTGCTATGGCAAATCCTTAAATGACTAACAAGAAGGAAGTGTCAGTGTTACCAGTACAAGAAAGTGCGAGGATCATAGTCCAGGCATGCAGACATGCAAATGAAAAGATTTAATCTGATAATAATGATCCCAAGTAAGTGAAGGTTCATTACTGACACCTCCTGGACCATTTGGATCAGTGTGACTGAGAAGACGAGGTGAAATGATTCTTACGTAACGATGTGATTCTCAGTCTCTGGAGTCATCAAAACCCCATCAACAAATAGGGGTGTAGACGAAAAGCTGAGTTTGTCCCACTGCCGGCCTTCATCCAAACTAATCCTAGACACACATACATTTCACAAATCATTTCACTGGCAAAGCAGATTCGGTTCATATTCTGATTAATATACTGTACAGTGCACATTTGACAAAGACATAAAAATAGAAGATGCATTTGTTCAGTCATCTGAGAATATTTATCGGATCCACAAAAACAAGTCATTGTAGAGTCACTTCATTAACATTCTATGTGGGTTACATCTGCATAATTACATTAAAATCCAATCTAATATATGCTCTTTGAAAAATATCAAGACAAAATCATTCACCATACCCCACTTGTGTTTACATTACCCTATAATCATTATTAGTCATGTAAAATGCTTATTATGTCTCATTACACATTCAGTCTATTTTGCATTTCATTGTTATTTTATGTTGCATCTCTTTATTGTACTTTCTTTCTGTCCTTTGCATTGTTTTTTTATTATTTTGCTCTGGGTAAGTGGCTCCTCAGTGTGTTTTGTTTTCAGATTTTGGTCTTTCTATGAATGTCTTATATTTTAAAGCACCTGCTTGTGTTCATGACAACTATTCTTGTGAATTTAGAGCCCTCTTGTTTTCTTTGTTCTGTGAGCATTGAATGTTCAAACTAAACTTACTGGTTAGTCATAGTCATGTTTTTGGGGATCTTAGTTTAGATTAAGTTCATTTCAGCAGAATTTATTTATTTTTTCTTACTTTCAATAACCAACGCAACTCTCTCACATTGCTGAGTCTGCAGAATTCTGCATAAATCCCATAACCAGCACACATTCTGTGTGGAATTGATATGCTTTTAATACACACAATTAGTGCACAACATCAATCGCTTTTCCATTCTATACTCTTTATTGTGTATAGAAGTTTGGGAGCAGTATGATTTTTTTATGATTACTTTTATTCAAGTATGCAATAAATTGATCAACAGTTACAGTAAAGTAATTTATCATGCTACAAAAGTTGTTCTTCAAATAAATGCTGTTCTTTTGAACTTTCTATTAATCAATTAATCCTGAAAAAAACGGTTCACAAAAAATGTTAAGCAGCACAGCTGTTTTCACCATTAATATTAATAGAGCATATGAGACTTCTTTCAAAACCATAAAAAATCGTAAAAACCGACCCCAAACATTTGAATGCTAGTGTATATCTTCACAATGCTTTTAAAGGTTTACTGTTCTCTTTATTATTGTTTCTAACAGATGTAACAGTCTCTTCGTGGGATCTTTTCATGTAGAAAGGAAAGATTTTCTGGTTTGGTGTTCCTGTTGTTGTAGATATGGGTCAAAGTCACCTGAGTTGATGGCTGAACACCCACACACACATCTGACTCCTGTTCTAACAGCAAGCCACAGGAGGATACAAATTATCTTCCGCAGTCTAATTGATCCTGACAACATTTCAGAGCTTAACACATCAAAGCCGCGTGTGTGACGTGACAGGAACAACATGTTGAACTGAAGCCCACTGAATCCCAACTCTGCTTCAAACCTTAACCCCCCCAACGTGAGCATAAAAGCCCTGGCAAACACAGCCACCTGCACTACAAAGCCATGACAGGCACTTTCGCTAAAAGGATTCCAAATGTTTGATATGATAAGACCTATTGCCTGCTGTTTATATCTGCCAGTCCTCATATCAAAGCTGACGTTTAAGCATGTGAGAACTTCAAAAACTTAGTCTGAATAAAAAATATCCAAAAAGTTAGAGATAAACTGCATAAACTAAAAAATGCATAATCTTTCTAGTGCTCTGTTTTATATACATATATAATGTGTGAAGTCAAGTCACCTTTATTTTTATAGCACTTTATACAACAGAGATTGTTTCAAAGCAGCTTCACAGTATTAAACAGGAAAGTAACCAAATCAATGCAAACTTTAAAAATGAGGCAAATCCAAATTCTGCTATACAGCAGCTGCAACAAGACAAGTGTCATTATTTAGCTCCAGTCATTAGTGACTGTTGCTAAATCAACACATTATTTAGTGTTGATTCAGTTCAGTTCAATAACTGTGTAAAAGTTCAATTCAGTGATAAGCAGCTCTGCTGAAGTATAGTTTAATACAATAGTGTAGTTATTCAATTCGAGTCAGTAAATGTTGATTCAATTCAGTTCAGTAACAGTGTCAATGTTGCAAAATACGTCAATTATGAACAGATTTATTTCAGCTATAAAGCAGCTCGACAGGGGATAGTGGCATTAATCAGCTCAGTTCAGTTCACGTTTTGTTCTTATCTGTGTTCGTTCCATCAAATCTATACTTGTTTTTAAATATTAAGTGTCTTTTAAACCCCAACTAAGCAAACCAAAGGCAACAGTGGCAAGGTGACAGAAATTAAGAAAAAATTTTGGGAGAAACCAGGCTCAGTCAGGGGACTAGTTCTCCTCTGGCCTAAATGAATGAACATGGTGTCATATTGATTCCAGGCTGCATCACAAATCAGATTTGTGGATTGATGTTGTTCAATAAAATTTGCAAGGCAGTGAATTTATAAATATGTGTTTAAGGAAAAAACATAATTTTTTGTCTTACCATAAATGACGTGTTGGTACAGCAGATTGTGTAACCGCTAATAAAGCCCCTCCATGGTCCAAAAACCAGACCAAGTAGGCCAACAGCACCCTCAAAGTAAATAAAACGCCTTCCCGGACTCCGGGGATGCTGCTGCTGCACGTGCTTAGGGACTGCTGACTCTATCGTACAAAGGACGCATCATTCTGTACGTGCATTCTCAAATTAAATCCAGCTATCCAAAACATTGAATTTAATCATCATTCACGAAAAAGTCTGATTCAAGAATGACCACATTGCTGATGTGATCTTATCGCTAGCCTAGCACAGCCTGAGCATGTGAGATATTAATCTTATCGGCAAGGCATATCGGCACAATTTTTCATATCGGGCCACGCCCGATATTTACTTTTTAAGTAATAATCGTCCGATTCCAATAACGTTCCTATATTATCGTGCATCCCTAATAAAGTGATAATATTATAAACTTTGTTGAATATAAAAATTGTTTCATTAATATTTTAATTTACTTAATTAAATCCCCTAATATTTTGTGCCCTTTTACAGCCCCCATAGGGGTTCCTTGGATTTCTATTAATCAGTTAATTGAGGGGGTCCAGTTTGAAAACCCCTGGTCTACGAGACCTGATTTAAGTCATTTAGGTTAACATATTTTTTTAGTTACATTTTGCCACTGCACAGAAATATAATTTTAAAGCTATAATCTATGATTTCACAATAAATTCCTGGTGCATATTGTCTGGTGGGTATGAGTGCCCTCAAAGACCACAATCATCATGGCGCCTGATGATGAACGTTTGGTAAAGCTGCTGTCAGTGACAAAACAAAACAAACAAACAAAAAAAACATTTTTCAATTCCCATATTTATACACTCTGAGCATAGGAAAGTGATTGCGGAACAGCTGTTGGACATGACAGGCCATTATGAATGTGGAAGACACCGGTCATATTTTCTGCGTGCTCTGCATGACTGACTTTTTGAGTGTGCATCTATCTAGTCTCATGCAGGAAGCTATTTGGGCTTGAGTTTTGAAGATAACTTTATAATGAGTCTGACAAGCAAAAGAACAGAGTGAAATTAGTTTTTGTTCCAATCATGCCAAACTCTGCAGCTGAAAAACACAAAGATGTAGCAAATTGAAAGCTGTGATTTGGCCAATCAAACTCCATCTGCATTTAAAAGCATGCACATTTATACCCATTCTTCACTCTAATTTATCAGAAACTTCTGGGGGACTCAAGACACCACAAGCATAAAAACAATAAAGGAAGTGGCACAGTTGATCGTACACACACACACACACACAGGTTTACTTTTGTGAAAAGTGGGGACATCCCATAGGCGTAATGGTTTTTATACTATACAGACTGTATATTCTATTGCCCTTTACCAACCCTACCCCTAAACCTACCCCTCACAGGAAACTTTGTGCTATTTCAGATTTTCAATACACTCCATTCTGTGTGATTTATAAGCGTTTTGAAAAGTGGGGACATGGGGTAATGTCCTGAAAAGTCACCTTCTCCTTGTAATACCTATGTCATACCTTTGTCATTATACAAATTTATGTCCTCATTTGTCACAAAAACGCGTACACACACACACACACACCTGTGGCCACTATAATCCCTGGAGCAGAGTGTTTGGTGGAGATAGTGTCAGGTGTGTAGGGGTTTTCAGACATCTGCAGGAGAAGGTGTAAGGAGCACGAGGGCTGAAAATTAGAACATTACACAGTATTAAATTATATTTCAATACATTTACATTTATCTACATAATCTCCCCTGTATCAACCGACTGTAGCATCAGCTTTCAAAAGCCATGCAAATTAATCCGCTTCATGTCTCTGCTGCTTTTGTCCATATTTTTTAGTATCCCTTACAATTAGAGTGAAATCTTTGATTTCAGAGCTTCAGAAAAATCGTAATGTAATTATGGCAATTAGAATTCAGTGTCAATACAGTGTCAAAAATCAGTCTAGTTAAATGCAATCAACCACCTAGTGATTCAAAACTAATTTCATAGGCAAGTAAGCAACAAACTTTTATTCTGTGTGTACAAGCGTCTGAATTCTTGTACCAGCAGTTGTTTAAAGTTGGTAATAAGTCCCAAAATAAAAGGACTGGGAAAAAAACTTGTTTCATCTTGTCTTTCTAAAGAATGACAACACATGTGCAAACACTGAATCCACTGTCTTTTTGTTCAGTAGAAAAAAAACAGTAATTAAGACTTTCTGAGATCTGCTGATAAACGGACTCCAGTTGTTCAATGTATGTTTTAATTGAAATCACCAATCTTCCAGAACAGTGTAAAACATCAGTGGAAGTCATTACAAAGATACAGAGAAGGTAGTGTGTCTTAATCAAACCATCAGAAAGCACTGAATTCAGAGCTATTGTTTGGTAGCTGGCGGTTCACGCTCATTTCACTGTGAGACTAAAGGAGTTCCTCTCTGCAGGGCTCCACTGTAAAAATGCATCAAATGAAAAAACGTGTCAACACTGTAATGTCTTGTTTTCATCTGACCATAGTTAAGTAGGTCGGTCTGAGTGTCTGGCTCTGATGGAGTGCCTGTTTTCAATAAAAGTGGGTGTGTCACTGTAATAGGATCAACATTTTTATGTTTTATGTTAAATAGTATTTCACCTACTTTTATGTTGGTGATCTATGCTTTTTTGGCAATGTCTTCATGTTTAGTAGGAAATATCTGGATGAGTTCATTGGGTCTCACCAGGTTGCAGTTGGTGTCATGTCCTGTGGTGTCTTTCGCTGGAGGCTGTAGTAAGCTCCATGTCTGGCCTTTGTTGTAGGTGATATACGTTCTCATCTGTGCGTCTTCTTTCTTATTGGCTATGATCAGTCCACTAACACCCGCCACCTTTACAGGACAGGACAAAAGTGATCTGAACTCAAATACTTGGATTTCCTCTTTTTTTTTGTGGTGATGATGATGATGATAATAATGATATAATAAAGTAGTATATTATTGTTATTATTAACAACAACAACAACAACAACAACAATAAAATACATATTTATTACTATTATTACTGTTATATAGATTATAAAAATATTATCAGTACTGTATGTTCAATTATAAACATTAGTTTGTGCATCTACTAAATTATTATAATTTAAATTAATATAATAACTTACATAATATAAATATAATAAATCAGTACATTATTCTTATGTTATTATTAGTAGTAGTTGTAGTAGTAGTAGTAATAAAAAATATATATTCTTAGTATGATTTTTACTGTTTGTAAGATTATTACTGTAAAAATATTATCTGTTCTTTTTTTTCTTTTTTTTACAATTACAGATATTAGTTGGTGTTTTATGCCTAGAAGGAAAAGAGGAGAACGAAAAAATATCAGGTTCTACATGATTGCAGATAAGCCTCGTTTTTCTTTGCATTTTTGCTTACACTTCGTTTTGAGTTGTTCTCGTTATCAGATTTTCTTCTTCTCTTTGTATTCATAGCGTTTCATTGCATAACACTGCTGTTTTGTGCTGCATCGCACTGTTCCCTGTTCTACTTTCAAAATCCCTGGCGAAAGCCATGGTAATTACCAAAGTTTTCCTAATTGCACACAACATTCATATGTGAACGTTCACGATGGTCGACTTCTTAAACTTAATTGGCAAGCACCATCAGGCCATACAATCATATTTGCAGACCTTGTAGACATCCACAATGAGGTTTCCTGCAAGACTGCGGAAGGTATGGAGGTTTGGGAGTGAGCGGGTGAAGTAAACTCCAGGTTTGTCAGAGATGTACAGACTATAGGTGTCATTTTCGTTCCACTCCTGCACTGCTGCCAGCACTTGCCCCTCATCTGTACTGACAATGTGCATGTCCTGCACGGAGAACAGCTGTTAGAGCCACATACATTTCATCTGACAACTTATTTGTGACAGCTAGTGCTGTGTCATGTATCTTACTTTGGGTAGACAGTATTTAGGGAGCTGTATGTTCCTGAAGGGCCCTCGCTGATAGGACACAAAGTACGTAGTTCTTCCTGCTGTGGTTAACTGATACACACACACACACACACACACACATACACACACACACACAAAGTCAGAGAAACAAGGATTTACAACAGATCAGCACTTCACACCATTCAGAACCCATGTTTGCTTGTCTATCATAGAGGGAACTTTCCATCATTAATGATCCAATGTTTTCAGCTAGAGTCTCACCGAACTTGAGTTTATGAACCTAAAGGAGAAAAAAAGTGATGATGATGATGATAATAATAAAGTAGTATATTATTGTTATTAACAACAACAATACAATACTCATTAATTACTATTATTACTGTTATATAGATTATTATAAAAAACATGATCAGTCTCAATATTATCGGCTTGGTTCACGTTATATGTAGTGAAATCTATCTCTGCATGTGCTGTGAGCATTTGGGTACACAGTGTTTGCCATTCACATAATTTCATAAATTTTTGTGGACAGATAATTACAGCATTTCACTAGATTTGTAATGAAACACATTTGCAAACCTGTTTTCACAAAAACTGCAATTTCCACCAAAATAAAAGCCAGAGGGTTTAACTCTTGCAAATCATAAGTAATTTTACACTATAGCGTAAAGTAAAAAAAAATCAATTAACAGAATTACAATAATAATAATAATTATTATTATTTTTATTATTTATTTCGGCTGAGGAATCTCATAAAACTTTTCAACTTTTTCTTATCAACTTAAAAGTAAATTATTTTAAATACTTATCAAATTTAGTATTTTTGTGCCAGTTTTTCCCTGTGGTATTGATAATGATATTCCATATAATAAAAAAAGAAAATACAAATATTAAACATAAATATAGAAATATTTTTCAAGCAATTGTTAGAGTTAAAAATTATAGTATTGTGACAACACTACCTCACACAATCCTTTTTAGTTTTATTATGTTTTTTGTTTAGAAAGAAGGGGGGGAGAGAAGGGAATGGGGGTACACAATGTGTAATCAAATATTTGAAGGATCAAATACATATCTTTCTTTTAAGGTAAATTCACAACTTCAAGGCCAATTGTAGTCCAATTAACATGTAGACATGTTGGCCGAAGCCAAGATACAATCGCATAATCTCTTAGTCCGAATTCACAAAAGCATAAAAAACATTTTGGTAGCAAACTATTGTTTTAGTCATACTGAAATTGAACTTTTAAAGTGCAATGTAAATGTATTAAATGTTAGCAAAACCTGACCTACACACATGTTGTACACATTCTTATCAAGTAGCTATTAGGTTGTAAAGATAGTGCATTAAAGCTCTAATGCTTCGATTGATCCAGTGTCAATAGAGCTTGGATGTCCAAAGAATGAGGCAGTTTGTCTGTGTGTATGTGTTTGTGTGTGTGTCCACTTTACAGGGTGAGGATGATGCTACACTGTGTTTTTCCTGTGAGAGGTGTGGGGTGTCAGACAGTCTCTTGTTCCTGCGCTTTTTGAATCAATAACCTCATTATTCTCTGTCAACTCAAATCCAACAGCTTTAAGCAACAAAAGTCAAAAGAAAGTCACTTGTATTGACAGAGGAGGGTCCAGGTTTCTCACTCAAAACCGTGTCCTGTCCTCCCCTGGTCTGCTGTTAAAGATGGAGAGGCTGGTTTCAATGGTTATCACTCACTTACACGGCACTGACAGAGATAAAAGGAGGGCTATAAAAAGAGTCAGACAGAGACTATCGTGACACACACACACACACATTTTTGGTATCTCCCACACCAATCTAAATCACGAACGCTTATGTACTTAATGAAACGCACACACATCTGTACCTGTAAGAAGATGTATTGGTCCTGCACTACGAGCGAGTTGGTGTCAATTCGGCCGCTGAATGGATACTGCCTACCCTCCTCTGAACACTTTTGTGCTCGGCACGTAATGTACTGCATTTCTGTGAGACAACACACACACAGATTTATCAACACAGGATACGCTTGTGCACAAGAACACCTTGATCTACACCAAAAAAAAACTAACAGATGATCAATATCTCTCTCACTCTCGCTGGCACACACACACACCCACACAACAAACACAATCTAGAAACTATACACAAACTTCCCACACATCTCTGTCTAGCCAAATTAATCAGTGCTCTCCATTATCAGTCTCTCTACTAGCTATCCATCCTCACTCAGAAAGGAGAGAAAGAGGGGGTGGGAGTAAAAGTACAGAGAAAGACAGAAGGGTGAGAGCAAAGACAGAAAGAAAATAAGAGCCCAACAAAGAAACAACAGATTAGGAATAACTGTTTTTATTTGTTTCAGGTATCTCTGAACAAAACGAAGAGTAGGAGATCTTTTATAACTATTTTAGATATTTTTTATTGTATGTTTTGAGATCACATTTAAAGGAGTTATTTTTACATGGATAAAATGGCTTTATATAAAATATCTTTAAATATCTTTACAAAGTTCATAAAGAACTTAAAAATCAATTTCAAATCTCTACTTGAATATCAATATTCTATTATCAACAAACACCATCACTGACAACTTGAAGACTGAGGACATACTTCACACAAAAATAAAAAATGTATCATTTACTTCCCCTTATATTCCAGATCTTTTACTTTATCTCAAAAATCTCTCAAATCAGTTGCACTTTCACTTTGCAAAGCAGTTTATCATGTTTGATTAAAAGACACAGAGGTGTCACTGATGTCAAGTACGTCTCAGTATGCAGTACGTCTTAATTGTTATAAGACTGAATATGCTCCATGTACAGATAAGATTTGTGTGTATGTCAAATGTATAGCCACTAGCCTATGGTGATTTAAAAAAAATTACTTTTAAGAATAATTAACTTTGAATTAGCACTAAGAATAATAACTCTGGTTGAAAATTTAGTCTGTTTCACATATACAGCTATTGCTCAATTATCTGGACTACTTTTAATGTGCCTTTGGTTATTTTTGGGCATGATAGCACCTGTTTACTCTCTGCTTTTACTGGTTAGAAAAGAATGTGTGATTATTGTTAAACATTTCTCGTTTTGTGTTTCATGGAAGAAAGTAAGTCAAAACAACATCGGTTTGAATTTTTGGTCAATAACTATCTATAGCATGTGACTGATAAAACAATGCATCTCAAATGTAAAGTTTAATTTAAATCAACAAAATCCCTGTTTATTGTACTGCATTTCTCATCACATTTTTATCACCAGATTGTCCAGTACAATAAATCTGAATACCCCTTTGTAATAACACAAATATAGGCTTTGTGAGTCTCTATAGAATCCATGTTCTACATGAAGGCAGAATTAAAATGAATGGAAAAAAGTTCAACAGTAATTTTAAACTAAAACAAAAAACAAAGTTCCCTTTCATGGGAACTTCGAACTGCGTCCTCTAGGGGTCGCTATGGGGAACGCCTCGTCGTGACCCGTGTCTGAAGCATACATTGAAAAAACACCAACTCGTTGGCCGGCGACAGCCATGACGTCACTACCGGTGCGACTCCAGTATAAATCGGCGCCGGGAGCTACACATCATTCACTTCTTCGTCTGAAGCTTGCGTCCGCAGCATGGCAAGAAACCTAGAGGACGCAGTGTCTCGTTCCCTACTCAGGGAACCATGGTTACATAAGTAACCTGAGACGTTTGTCCTGTCTTTTGAAAACCATTTGAAAGTTTAAAAGCCTTGAAATGTAAAGCTTTATAGGAATAGAGACATCATCATATTCAGTCAATTGGAGCAGAAGGACACTTCCTAGAAAGCATTACCTGTGTGCAGGGTGGTTTCTAGCCTTCCATCAGTACTGGAGCACAGGCCCCAGCAAAAAAGTTTTTTTATAGAGCTGTTTCGTGATTGAAAGCAGATTTGCTAGTACATTTGCAAGTTTTGTTTTTTACAATTAATTGAAGGTAAATATCCACCTCATCCAGCGTTCTTTTTGTTTTCTTATGAAATATCCCATTATTGTTTCAGTGTTAGAAACCACTTCAAACGAGAAACCACTGCAGTGCGTGAGTGAACAGTCTGAATGAATCCAACTGAATCACAGTTTCTGGCCTTTTTGTAAACCTATTTAACTGAAATACAGTTCACTAAATTCCTCTTCCTGTCATTCAAACGCAACTTCCTTCGGGGTGTGGCCAATTGAATTGAATTAGCAAATTGTGAATTGAAAAAGAGCCAATTCTTCAATTCTGAATTTTGCCCAACTCTGATTCCACATGCCTGCTCTACTGTGAAGGCATGGACAGATAAAATGGCCTATTAAATATTTATGTTGAACGGATTGAAAGAACTGGTTCAAATCCTTCTTTTAGAAGAGGTTTGATTATTACCGCCTGAAAACTAAAGAAGCTTTTGCCACCTTCTCCATTTCCCTGTGCTTCAAATTTAGTTTGGTGTAACCACTGCATCACTCATAACACATTTAAATGTATTGTTGTTGTTAGACTGTCCGAAGCTTAGGGCCTGTTGTGTTGTGTCAGGCTCATATCAATCGAGTTTAATGCACAACACTGTCCCACAAGGATAAAACATAAGCGCAACAGTCTGCCAGAACCAAGCCAGAACCATTTACTATTGAATTTACTGTTGTCCACAATTCATCTGTTCATTTTTCACTGCGACACAGGAAAAAAAGCATAGGAGGCTGGGGAGAAAGTAAGAAAGACAGGGTGAGAGCGCTAGGAGGGGAGGAAGAGAGAAACTGAAAAAGCAGGAGAAAAAAATACAAAATTTGAGGGGCAAAGGAGGGAAAAGAAGGAAAAGAAAGAGACTAACGTCCACTGTCAGTTCGAGCCTCGATGTGCACCAGGTCTGCCTCTTTATCCAGACCACTCAGTGCCCTAAAAATGAAAAAAGAAAAAGTCAGAATACAAAAAAGAACAGAAGAGAGGAAAACAATCAGGAAGGGCTCCAGTGGAGAGGATATGAAGAAGGAAGAAAAGAGAAGGAGGTGCCAGCAGGGGACGGACGGATGAGTATGGTAATAGCATGAGAGAGATGGAATGATGGAAGAGGAGAGGGGAAGAATGGAGGGGTGGTGATGGACAGCATAATTCCACTGCTCCAGTAGGAGACAGTCTGTCTCCAGTGAATCCTTATTGTTGTGCCGATAGCAATTAATCACACACACACACACACACACACACACACACGTTTGTTTTTGTGAATTGTGGGGACATTCCATAGGCGTAATGGTTTTTATACTGTACAAAGTAACTGTATGTTCTATTGCCCTACACCAACCCTACCCTTACAGGAAACTTTGTGCATTTTTACTTTCTCAAAAAAACTCACTCTGTATGATTTATAAGCGTTTGAAAAATGGGGACATGGGGTAATGTCCTCATAAGTCACCTTCTCGTTGTAATACCTATGTCATACCCATGTCATTATACAAATGTGTGTCCTCATATTTCACAAAAACCCGCACACACACTCAGAGCTCACTCCCACAAACCATTCTCCATCACATACACACTTTAATTTCTTACCTATTACCTATTTTCACCTGTGACGCACACACACTCACCATCATATCCTCTTTCTGAGGTTTTTAATCATCTTAATGTCTTGTCTTTTGTCATCCATATTTTCTTCTGAGACAGTTTGAACACAGGCACAATCTGATATTAAGTCATTCTTACAATCCAAAATTAAACCTTTCAGTAAAAATCTGATATTCCACCTATACAGAGCCCTAGTTTGATATTAAATCCCATTTACAGTCTCAATCTCAGATTATTATTAATCTCAATCTGAATTAGCATCTCTCTCATTACATTTCTGACATCAAACCCCTTTTAAACATCTTTATCAGTTCCAGTCTGACATTAAAACCCCCTTAAAAGGTTGTTTTCTTGAGATCACAATGTCATTTTCTTGCCATCTCAACATAAAAATTTTCACGTGATCTTGACTTGAAAGGCATGTTGCTCACCATTTCTATGGTCAGCCACAAACTGCTGAAGTCCCGGTCCCTTGAGTTGGCAGGCAATGAAATTAAAGATTAAAGTTGTAGCCTCAATCTCAAGTGTCAGACTGTGATTTGGAAGTGGTCCATCACTGACAGACATATAGATATATCAGCTAGAGTGAGTTCCTGATGAAAGTAAATCCAATTTGCTCATCTACGATGCAGCATTACTGTATATGTACGCTACCATTAAAATATTTGAGATTAGTATGATTTTTTTAAAGAAATTAAAACTTTTATTTTAAAGCAAGGATGCATTAAATTGATCAAAAGTGAGAGTGAAGACATTTATAATATTTTAAAAGATTTATATTTCAAATAAACTTTTTATTCATCAAATAATCCTTGTTTTTTACTCAAATGTTTTTCAAAATGTTTCTTGAGCAGCAAATCAGCATATTAGAATGATTTCTAAAGGATCACGTGACCCTGAAGACTGGAGTAATGGCTGCAGAAAATTCAGCTTTGCATTACAGAAATAAATGACATTTTAAAATACATTAAATTAGAAAACAGTTATTTTAAATTGTAATAACATTTTATAATATTACTAGTTTTACCGTTTTTTTAACATTTGAACAGCAGTGTGTACTTAAAAATGCCATTTGATACCTCCAGAAAAAAACAAGTTTTAACATTAATTAATACATTAGGTATAATGAAGTAACATCTTTTTTCAGCATTTATTAATCCAGATTATTGTTAATTTATAAATAGAATTTACTTGAACCTGAAATGGCAAAAATGTATTAGCATGTGTAGAAATTAACATTAATCAAGTTTAATAAATGCTATAAATGTATTGTTCATTGTTAGTTCATGATACCTAATGCATTATCTGATGTTAACAAATTGAAACTTATTGAAAGTTTTACCAAAATAATACTACATTTAAACACCTTCAACAATCTCAGTCGGCGTTTAAATGTCTCTCTCAATCCCAGTCTAAGATTAAAGCACTTCTCAAAATTTCAGTCTGAAAATAACCTCTCTTTCAATTATCTGTCTGAGATTTAACATCTCTCTAAATCCCATTCAGATGTTAAACTCAGACTTGGATAATTGAACGGGGGTTAAACATTCCTCTCAAACCCAGTCTGACACTGAGACCCATTATAGTCTGAGGTTAAACTTTTTCATTTTCCATTTTTGTACTCACCAAACCTGACACAGCAGGGCTTCAGTGACACAAACACAATCTATACAGTGTACACTATGTGTGTGTGTGTTGCAGTAGAAAGCAGCAAAGAAAATATGTATCATATATTTTTGAAAGGATGTAGAAAATTGTGTGTGCATAGGGATGTTAAACCCAGGGGTGAAGACATGTTGTTGGCTGTCTCCACAGCTCATCGAGCATGTGACAGGCAACCAGTTATTTTGACTACACCCCACACAAACACACACTGATGGGATTAAAATATAAAACCTGATCAAAATTTCACACATACACTAATATGAAGAACAGGGGAGAGAGAAGTGACATGACAGTGAGATAGATGGAGGTAGATAGAGAAATAGAGAAGGGAAAGAGACATAGAAAGTGTGTGTGTAAGTTTATCAGTGTCAGTGTACTGGATGTAGAGAGTGGGTTTAATATTGGATTAATTTTCAGTGTGTGATTGTGTGTGCGCATGCAGGTATATTCTTGCAGTCAGATTAATTTTCAGTGTGAAATTGCACTGTAGGCGTGTTATATGAGATTGATGATCAGTAAAAAATTACTCTGTGTGTGTGTGTGTGTATGAGTCGTACCAGTAGAATCGCCCCGGAGTTATTCTCTCATGAACAAGAATCCACTTTTTACCGAAGTCCAATGAGCTATAAAGCTACAGCCAAAAGAGAAACAGACACATTCACTGTAAGATCCCTAACTGCAGCCAACAAAGGTAATTATCTTGCTCACACTTAATTATCCACATTATCTGCTTTTAATTGTTCAGTAGAAGTAGAACCTCTTGAGGCAGTGTGTATGTGTGTGTGTGTGTGTGTGTGTGTGTGTGTGTGTGTGTGTGTGTGTGTGTGTATACCCTCTGATCATGGCTATAGGCCAGAATCCAATTCTCCTGAGTAGGGTGAAACAGAAGACTCATGATATAGAAGTTAATATTGAACTTTTGGAAAGTGGCTCCTTCATCAGAACTGATAAGTAAACTACTTTCCACCTCCGGATCAGATAAAATCAGGATCTGAGGAAGAGGAAGAATTATATTAGCTTGATATTTTCTATCTGACAGTTTTGTACGTCTATATCTCTGACGCATTTCAACACACTCACCTTCCTCTTATTGGTCGGACAGACGTACAGATAGCTCAGCATTGTTCTGATCATCACTTTATCCGTCAGCTTCTCATATGTTGTCCCAAAATCTACTGACCTACAAATACATACAAAGGCCACTGATGTGATGCCTATATTTTTGATCTATTAATTTATTTTAAATATGGAAACACTTTACACATGTTAACATTAGCTAACTACATTAGTTAACATGAACTAACAAAAATACTTCTAAATCCTTTATTATTCTTAGTTCATGTTCAATTCAACATTTATTAATACATTATTAAAAGTTGTATCTGTTAATATTATTTAATGGAACTGTAAGTATTTTTCATTGCTAATTCATGTTAATTAATATAGTTAACAAGTAATAGAACCGTATTAGTGTTACATTAAAATCCAATTCAAACAATTACTTGAATACACCTCTTCTGTGATTTCATTGTTTTTTTGTGCAACTCCTCCAAAACTATGACATTAATATTTAGTAATTCATGTTTGAAAGAAAAATTTATATATGTATATATGCCAAAATAATGATTTGTCATGTACACTGACACAAGAAATATGCACAAGAAAAATGTTACTTGATTACACCACGAGTCATTAAACTGAAACTTTTCTTAAATGGCGTAGAAGTTTTTCAAAACAATATGAAAGCAATAAAAAGAGTATATTTCTAGGCACTTGAAACATGTCTTTAGATTTTCCTTTTCTTTATTGTTGAAACTTGTGTGTCATTGACCCACACAGACATTTGATTTCAAACAAAGCACAAACCAAAGTGAAAATACAAAAGAAGAGCTGAGGATTTTTTAAAAGCATTCAGCTTGTCCTAACCAGGTGTGACACAAGAATTTTCCTGCATCATGTAATTTTTCTGTCCTGACTGAAAGTGCAAAAGCGACAAAAGAGCCATTAAAGGGGTCATAGGATGCCCATTTTCCAAAAGTTGATATGATTCTTTAGGGTCTTAATGGAAAGTCTGTAACATAGTTTGGTTCAAATTTCTCAATGGTAGTGTAAAAAAAAACTTTTTTTTTTACCGTCAAAAACAGCTCTTCTCAGAGCAAGCAGTTTTGTAGCATTTTCCTTTAAATGTTAATGAGCTCTGCTGACCCCTCCCCTCTGTTCCGAGCTGCTCTCAGAGAGACTGTTTACTTTAGCCGCATTCATCGTGAAACTTGCAAATTAGCTCATTATTAGGAAAGGCGATTTTCAAAGATTCATTAAAAAACCTTATACTCACTTCTTCTGTGGGTGAAGCTGGATCACGAATGATTCGCGCGAACATAGACGCATTTAGGTAGATCGGGGACACATTCCCTTCAGAAACAAAGGTAATCCATTGCGTCTTCAGCGGCTCAGATGTCGGGAGTAAATGACGACTGCTATGTTCATTATTACATACAACAACAGAAGACCTCAATCGCTTAGGAGTCATTCTTGTCTACATCTGCTCCAGCAGTGAAACAATGGCGGACTGATGACAGCTCACTCAGGGCGGGTCTAAGGTAAGACACCAGTCCAGTCTGTGCTGAAACGCTACTGTCAATCAAACTATCGTGGGAGGGGGCTGTTTTTGTGACGTCACACAGACAGGCATCTGAGATCGGCTCGATTTGAGAAAGGGGTAAATATTTGAGTAGAAAACACCGGGTGGATTTTTATCATTATAGGGTGGTTGTGTACAAACACTGCCAACACACATTTCAGTTCAAACAACTTGTAAAAGTGCATATAGCATCCTATGACCCCTTTAAGAACATATGTGATGTTGAATATCCTGCAATGTGGATCAAGATTTTGGACCAGTTCAATTTCACAAACTGCTACCTTGAAGGACAGAGACAAAAACCACACGACCAAAACGTCTTGTTCGTTGCGCTTCCCTTGTTGCCATCACAGCTGGTTAGAACAAAAACTCAAAATAACATGGACATGTGGACACAGTCTTTTGGCTTTTTATTAGACAGGCAAAATAAAGGGTGACAGGAAACATCATGGGCCACATTAGAACCTGCATACCCCACACGAGCGCTGTAACTCGACGTGTCAGGAGCACGGTGCACCACATCTGCAATGAAGCTGAGAGTTTTAGAAGTCATTGGCGTAATTAACTGAAGCTGTTATGTATGTGCACGTCTCCGTTCTATCAGAACTCATTAACACCGTCTCTCCTCCAGCAGGTACGACAGCAGTCAGGAGAGTCTGCCGAACTCCTACAAGTATAATAACGCTAATGGTTTTAGGCCAGACAGTTACACGTTACTGTGCTGGAGAAGCACACGTTTATGTGCCGTCTGATGCATTATCTCCTCAAGTGCTCATCTCTGAATGCGCTAAGAGTGCTCATACACTTTTACCACCGGATACAATTACATGGCTGTTCTGAGCTGTTGAGGTTATTTGGGTTGTGTAAGCTGTAGCGGCACAGGTGAAGAGGCAGATGGTTCTCTGAGCGCCCTCGAACGGTGCTGAGTGCCTGCCCTAAAAAACTCCTCTGACGTTTCTGGTCTGGTCAAGTTTCCCTCTCTCTCTCTCCCCTCCAGCAGATCTGCACTGTACTCAAGAGGACATTACTCCTCCTCTCAGGACAAATACGTGTGTGTGATTTAACAATTGCATGGGCAGGCTGGATACTCTTTAGAGCATGCATCTTTATTTTAAAACACAGGAGAGTGTGATTAACTAGCTCCTCTGAATGAGCCGTGATTTGTTTTTTTGTATTTTTTTTTCTCCTTTTATGCCGCCAACAGCAACATTCATTAATCATTCATACTGTTATTACCGTCATCATTTACTACAGCCTGCAAGCTGAGCTTTAACATTCACCTCTTTTAATAACACAGTGCCACATCCCTCCCCCCACTACTGTCTATCTCTCTCTCTCTCTTTCTTCCATTCGCTCCTCCTTCTCTCCCATTCCTCCACTTTCTTCTTCCTCATTTCCTGTTTATGCCATTTCTGTTTGTGGAAGTTTGATAATGGCTTTCTGTTTTTTTCTTTCTGTAAACCCCCCAGCTCACCTCCCTCTCTGAGTGACACACACCAGAAGAGGAAATCTCATCAGGGCTTGCAGCCAAAAAGAAATGAAACAAAGCCTTCCTTCAAGGTGATTGCAGTGTGTATGTGTGTGGGAGCGCGAGTGTTTGTGTCCAAGCACGTGTTTGCAGTGATGGCATGATGATAAAGGATGATGTCATATTACATATCTCCCAAAACATATCAAGTAGCCTGTTTAATTATTGCAACATTGTTTTCATTATTCTTTTAATTAAAATGGACAAAAGTCCATCCAACTATCAGCTGTACTGATGATGATGATGATCATGCTGCACAACTTTAATAAGTGGATGAATGTCAAGCATATAACTATAATAAACAAAGTACAGGAAAACAATTAAATTTAAGATGCAGAAAGATGGTTATAAAACTGATAATAACATGTTGTATTACTATTCAGACTGACTTATATAAAGCACTAATCATTTTAGTTTTGTCCCAAAAACTTTAATAATTAATATTTGAATTAAATTAAGATCAAAAGAATTATCAATTCAACATCTTTGAAACCCCAATTCCATTGCGATCTTAACAGGTCTGAACAGTACAGGACAGAAGCATAAAAGTAAAGGGACTATACTAGTTCACGCAGAACCAGTTAGCCATAAAAAATTGAGGGTCTAGGGTTTTTAAATTTAATTAAAGGTACTTTAATCCGAGTGAACTGTAGATTTCACTGGGAGCCGTTTTAATGGATAAAATAGTTTGGAAATGCTCGAGTGAGAAATGCCTCAGTTAAGCAGGGAATTTTTAAACAGAACCTTTCAGACAGCCTGAGAGAAATGCACTGCAGCAGCCTAATCAGAAACTTAAAAAAGCATACTAAAGTAGGACGAGCTTCTCAGCAACGTGTAAAAAAGACAGAAATAAGGTGTTTTGTGAATAGTGAGGGTTTATAAATGAGTAAATGATAGTTCTCTGTAATGTGACATCGAAATTAATGGGGGGAAATTTTTCAAAAAGTGAGGTGACAGAATGTACAGGCAGTGCTTTCTTTCTCTATGTACAAGCCTGGCTTACACAGCTACCTTGCAATTCTTTTCTTTCCATTGTCTATGCACTATGACAGAAAGAGAGAGAGAGAGAGTCGGGTCATGGTACAGACCGTCCCAGGAGAAGACAGGGATTAAGTACTTCACCCAGGGGCATATCAGCAATGGTCGGTGAAAGTGTTTCCGAGCAGAATTTCATCCCAGATCTTAGCCATTCATATAGTCTGGTGTACTTGTCACTAACACACTTGTGGCTAATGTAAGAATGTGTGTTGATTTGTAATGGGCTAGAAGCGTAATACTAAAACCACAGTGTTATCCGATCATTTAATTCAAGCTGGTTCAGCAGTGCTGCAGCGATTAGAAGGTTCACACCAGATAATATTGGAAGAATGCAAGCTTTATGTTCCTACCCTTTTCTTAGCACTGTTACAAAATGGTCCCAGTGCTCTCACTAGGGCTGGGTATCGTTCAAAAATTTTCGATATCGATATCGATCCAGATACCTCCAATAGATGCATTTATATACATTAGATACCCACTATTCGCCACTTACTCTAAATGTAATAAAATCAGAATAATGTTGCGTTTTGGTGTTTACATAGTTATTTTTGGTTTCTGATGTTTTAATCATGTTAACGTTACTTGTCTGGCGTTAATGAAGAGTTAATGTCAAGCCCTGGAGTCTATAACGTTAAGTGCCGGGGCTCAGCCACAGACGACCCGGCCCAGTTTAAACCCTGGTCTTATGTAGCATGATGCTACAGTGTGCATGAATGGTCACATAACACGCGCTTTCGGTCTTGTAGTATGAACGGACATCTGCATATGATTGGAACTCCACGCAGCTCGCGCACTACTCTCCACTGGAAATGAATGACTTTCGGTCTGTCATTTGTCGGAGATAGTGGAAAGCCGGCTTGAAACGCAGTGTAAACGCCAGTAAGACGAGGATCGTTTTCATTTTAAAACAAAAACGCACCAGTGTAAATGTAGCCTTACAGCTACGGGGGCTGGGACGCATTCACACTAAATACTCACGTGTGAGCCACATCTCTGAGTGTGGCGCGTGACGCGGACCGACTGTGCAGAACTATCGGTGTATTAGGCTATAGTACCACAAGCAGACTGCTCCGTACGTTTTCGCATCGCTCTCGCGATTTGTCAACAGAGGATTCTGTATTTACATGAATTTATGATGAGCAGCCCCTTATGAAAAATAGGTGCGCTCAATTATATTGAATGTGCTTCAAAACTTAAAAGTATATTTAAAAACAGTTTCTCAACACACTTATGTACACTTTTAAAATGTGCACTGTAATAATGTCAAATTAAATGTTTTAAGTACATTTTAATTATCGTTTTAGTGATCATTTGTCAATGCTTTAAAGTTAATTCCACTTGATGTGTTACTAACATACTAAAGCACATGTAAAGTATTTGATTATAATACAGTTTTATTCTATTATAATTGTAATGTAATCATAATTGGTTAAAACTGTAGGTGCCTTATTTGATATTACATTTAAATTTAATATATTACATACTAAATTGCAACTTCATCATTACAAATGTGCAATTACAAATACATATAAATACATGCTAAACAAGTTTCAATAGAAATGACATTAAAAATATATTTTAGTTTACCATAAATGTTTGTCAGTACATACGGCAGAAGACTTTAACCATATTTCAAAGACAAAAGGAGTAATTATGAAATTTCATATTAAGATGTACTTAAATCCTACCTTAGTGTTTCAAAAAAGCACTTTAAGTTAAACTAATTGCATTTAATATAAATTTAAACTATAATACATTTTCATTTAATTGCAGCTATCATGCAGGAAACATTACATTCAGTTTGCTTTTAAGTATATTATTTTAAAGTATAGTATCCCTCCCGGCATTTCTAAATTGCCTAAAATGTCTGGGTTTTAACTTTGTTTTCCTATTGGCATGCTCTCTACAGCCCTCATACATTATATGAACTAGTGCTGTCACGATACCTAACTAAAATATCTCGACACTACTACTGAACCGATACCACAACAAAATTTTAAAACAACAGGAAAAGTTAGTGAATAATACTGTACATGACGCACAGATTATAGTTATACTTAACTTAAAGTTCATTCTTTTATCTATCAATTTTGAGCATTTCCTGCCCCTTTAAAAAAATAAATAATTACATGCCAGTGCCACCACACAGGCCTATGGTGAGCAAACTAAAAGTCTATGATATAGCTGAGCCTACCAACCCAGTCTCATAAAAATACGTACCTCTGGGTACTTTTCTGCAACACCGTTTTTATGTACCTTACTGCACGTTTCGCCGCAGTTTCAAAGAGAAATGTCCACTGAGTGGCGCTAAAACACAGGTTCAATACGTGAACCCTGGCACGTTTTTATTACGTTGATATAGGTACGTATTGCTGTGTTTTTATTACGTTGCTTCAGGTACGTATTGCGGCGGTTCAGAATTCAAATATCCGGGGACTGTCGCTAAAAGTGAATGCTCTATCGTGTTGGAAATATGCCCTACACCAAACCCAACCCTAAACCTACCCGATAGTGTTAACAATTGCAAAACTGATATAAAAACACATTTGTCAATGCAACCGTGTCATTTGAACTTACTTATATGCAGATTCGAACCGTTTTGTCGAACCGTAGTTACACGGTAACTCCTCGCCGCTCAAGAACGTCTCCGTACTCCGTGAGCTACCGAACAAACCTACCATCGATAAAAACCCATTGATATGAAGCTGGATGTGCGGTGCTAACGTTCAAGCGCATCAGTTTTCAAATCTCCCAGCATATTAAAATTGTTTTGAAGTCATAACATGATATTCTTCAAGTAATTGTGCGAAAATTATGCTTTATTAATCGAAACTCCGTGAATGTGTGTGAAAAGGAATAAAAGGTGTCAGAGTTTTACTGCCTCTAGTGTTCATTTCTTTTGGAAACTGCAGGAGAAGGGTATAACTGCAGCCTGGAGATCTCCAAATGGGGGCGGGAACTCCAAAACGGGGTGGGAGCTCCAAAATAGGATGTGGCTTCCTCCCATTGACAGACAGGCACATGACACGCATGCGCAATTTACCAATTTTATTAAAGTGTTGATTTCCTACACTATGCTACAAAAAATACTAACCCCTAAACCTACCCCACACCTGACCCTAGCCTTAACCAGTGAAATTGACTGCACAGCGGGATTGGCGCTGAATAGCGTGGCAAAGAAAGTTGCAGTTCAGGAGATAAACAGTTAATAAGATTATGCGATATGAGATCGTTCCGTAACTCCCCAACCGGACCTCACCTGACAATGGCACCTTTTTAGTTACACCCAGCGTCACTACCCCCTCCTACCCTGCGAATTTCATGCCCGGGGATGCCCCCGTTGCTTGCAACAAAGCCATAGAGTAAAATCTTTCCCCTGCGCTGATGGCTCGCGGGAAAGCTCGTGGGTGATTCCCGTTTATTAAGCAGAGGTTCAAACTCCAGTCTGAACACCACTGGCCATGAGCTTTGGGCTCTGCTCTCACGGAGAATATTTATTTATATAGCATTTTTTATTTTAGATCAACTAGAAACAATGTTTAATTTATAAAGTTTTATTTTGAAATGTAAGTCAATAACAATTGGCTGAAGCCAGAGCCAATGGTGAAAGTCTTTGCGCGAAGAGACCCCGCCCCATTTTGGAGGTTCTGCCCACTTTTGGAGTTCACGCCCCATTTTGGAGATCTCCGGTCTGCAGTTATACCTACTTGGAGTGCAGTGATATGTACTTATTGGTACGTATTTCGCGTCTCGCGAAAATGTGCCCCCGGGTACGTTTTTGCCATGAGACCAGGTTGGAGCCTACAGGTAGGCTATATAGAGATCTTTGCAACATTGGTAAGTTAAAAGAAGCTAAAAGGATCAAGTCAAATTACCATAGATGGTTATAACTGACCTCAACTGCCCCTCAATTACCTCAATTAAATATACATTGATCCTTATTAAAGTTACTAAACAGAGCTGATCCTACCTATATGCAAAATACGCAAGCTGTGTAGGGCCCCCTTGCTTTCAAAGATGATTTAATTTTAGTTTAGTTTTTGAATTTATGAATGATAAATTATTTTAATTCGCCCTTTCTACGTAAAAATCAGTCAAATCATGTAATGTGAATGTCGTACTGCTTGAGACTAAAAAAACGAGTTGAAATCGTACGGAGCTGTGGAAGATTCACTGTTTCTCAAGCGCTATCCGCGAGCGCGATTCGAGATGGAGTGAAACACGGACAAATGCGTTTCATTCATTCGTTCATAACCACTCAACCCCCCCCCCTCTCTTTCTTTTGTAGTTTGATAAACATTGTAGATATAGAAAGCAGCAGGAATATTAGTCTGCTGTCACTTTAAGAACTGCACAGATCCAATATATTGATACACATGCGTTTTTTTTCTCAACTGTTTACATTCATTTAAGTCATAAGCCAAGATGGGCATATTAACATAATTGTGTGTGTATTTGACCATTGAAGCGCAATAACTCGTGAAAGAGATCTGAATTTTCGATCGCATTCTGTCTGAGAGGTGGCTTTCTATACGCACATGTCGGGTTCTTTGTGCTTAATAACTCTTTTTAACATCAAGTGTGTACTGCGCTTTATTTTCTCATTCTTGCATGTTTCTTATTCACTCTAAATTGTCAATAATAAACATTTAACTTAAGTCCTGCGCTTAAAACTTATTAAGCCCTGCGCTGCGTGGATATATAAAGTTTGGCACGGCCAGTGAGCATGCAAGGAATGGAAGCAGAGTGCTGCGCACACACTGCCCTGCTGTCGCACATCGATGCAACTCAGGAAATACGGATCTTATTAAAATGATGCCATTCTTAAAGTACTGGTACTAGTAAAATGAGGAATCTTACTGTTTTTAAAAGCAGAGTATTGCGATACCTTTTTAGTACATACTGATAACGAGTTCAAACAGATGCCATTAATACAGGTAACGAGTGGAGGACAGAGGAGCCTCTTAAAGAAGAAGTTACAGGTCTGTGAGAGCCAGAAATCTAGCTTGTTTGTAGGTGACCAAATACTTATTTTACCGAGGAATTTACCAATTAATTCTTTAAAAATCCTACAGGCCTCTCTCATCTTTTTAAGTGGGAGAACTTGCACAATTGGTGGCTGACTAAATACTTTTTTGCCCCACTGTATCATGCAACACTAATATGAACACGTATTTGCATTGCTTTGACTGTTTTCTGTAGACCCCACCTTCTCGCACGCCATGATTGGTCAACACACTATTGGTCAAACTATCCGTCATTACCTTCAGCAAGTATGAAAACAACAGGAAAACCATGCCAAAACCCGGACACTTTAGGCAATTTAGAAATCCCAACCAGGACATGTCTGGGAAAAAAAGGACATATGGTCGCCCAATAAGTATCCAAAAAGTTTACTTATAATAAGTAAAATATGCTAAAGTGTACTTTGTTTTCACAAGGGGTACCAGAGCACTGATGCTTAAAAGACTTTGAATAAACTCCATGATGTTTCCATTCATAGAAGTGGGTTTACCTCCAGAGCGAACTCTCCGTCACAGTTCCCAGGTTAAAGTCGAACAGTTTTGTCAAAATCAGGATCACCTGAAAGAAAAACACGCAGACAGTTTACAAATCACCCAGTAATGTCCATTTACACATTTCCCCAGATACAGCGCTCTTAATGTGCTAAGCTAAATGATCAAATGTCTGTCAGGCAGCCTTGCAGTGATGGATGAGAGTAAATATCAGGTGTGAATTTTATTATCTTGAGATGACAGCAGAATAAGAAGCAATGCACTCAGAGCCAGGACAGCCTGATGGAGGTAATGATGATCAGGGGGGGGAGAAGAGAGAGAGAGAAAAAAAACATGATGCTGTACACACATACGCTAAAACACAAACACGCTCAAGCTGTCAAATGTCACACTGAAACGTGGCAGGTAAAACGCTTTGCTCTTCCCACCTGACAAAACATTCTGAGCACACACTCATAAACAACAGTGAACAAACGAGCATCTGTCTTTCCACTGTGAGTTTTACCACACACAAAAAAAGGATAGAGAGAGACTTTGAATCAAAAGCAGACAGTAAGTGGTCCCTTTGCAGCCGTGACTGTGTGAGAACACAGTCTTCAGTATCGCGTCAACACACTAATGAATATTAGTCTAAAAGGTCCAATATTTAATTTCACACTCCATGATTGTTCCCTAATTAGAGTTCAGTCAACAGGAGTACTGTCATTAACCTAAAAGAAAATCGAGTAATAATTCACAAAACGGATGCAGATGCAAACACAGCTGTTATAGGAAAACCTATTCCAGCCTATTGATAGTCTGTGACTTTACTAACGCCACTATAGCAGGTACTGTGTTTGCGGACAACCTTCACTCCTCACAGCCCCACCTGTGACGGAACGTTTTCATCTGAGGTTAATTAACCAATCAGAAGAGGACAAACTATTAGCATATCCAAATACAGCATATCTGAAAGAGCAGGACCCCAGTCAAACTCACTCAGCTTCCTGAACCAGCAAAACCACCGTGATACTGGAACTAATTACATCTCCTGAAAGAGCGAGAGAGAGAGAGAGAGAGAGAGAGAGAGAGAGAGAGGTGTCGATGGGGGTCCAAAAATAA